ATTAAACTTCACGTACGTTAGGTTTAAATTTTTTTTCCTTTTTCTATTGATAAATAATATTAACGATTATTATTATTGAAACTAATTAAAATATTAAATTAACAGTACTAAAGTACAAATAATAATAATTACTTAATTTTTTTTTTTTTTTTTTTAAATGAAATATAAAATTAAAAACTTACAGAAATAAAATAATGAAATTTAATATCACTAATTAAACGTTAAAATTTCACGTGTGAGAACGTGTAACGTATTATTATTATTATTATTATTCACTAACAAATAAAAATTGACATGAGTTTTGTTTAAATGAGTTTATGCAAACTCCAACGAAATTGACCAAAAAGAAAAAAATAAAAAAAAAATCACGTAAATAAACAATTGAATAAATATCGCATTCGTAGCATTAATAAATATTAATTATTATTATTATTAATAAACGAATATAATTGAAAACTTGTTACCAACAATTACGTACGATGAATAATAATAATAATACTAATAATAATAATTTAATCGTCCTTGTCATTTATTTAAGTGTGAGGGGTTTTAAAAACTTTTGTTAATAATGCCTTTTTGCCTTTTGGGAAAATTGATTTCCGTGTTTTTTTTTTTTTTAAATTTACGTCACGTTATTATCAATTATCATTATTATTATTATTATTATTATTATTATTATCGAAAATCTGTTGTGGATCTCTTTTAATAAAATCCCGTATGAAGTATATAAATATTTTTTTTTTTTTTTTCGATTTACTATAAATTAAAATTTTAAATTAAAAAAATAATTAATGGAATTTCTTACCTTTCGTAAATAATAATAATAATAATAATAAAATTAAATGGCGATTACGTTATAATAATACATAGCAGGTAGCGAAAATAATGATGATTATAAAACACTAAACTAGATTTTCTCGTTTGTTGAATTTTTTTTTTTTTTTTTTTTAAAGTATTAAATGAAAGTGAAATTATAAATGTTTAAATAACATGGAAAATACTAACGATGTTGATAAAATAAAGTTTAAAAAAACTAAAAATAAATTTTTTTTCGAGCTTTGTAACCGAAAAACAAGCGATTTCCACACGCGCGCACTCACGCACACACACACACACACACACACACGCAAAATATGTGAATATTTTCTCACGTTAGCTTTTTAATAATTTAACAAAAAATCGATTAAATAAAAAAAAACATTTGTTAATTCACGAATTTGTTATAATTTTCGATTACTGATTGATTGTGTCGTGGAATAAAAAATAATAATAATAAAATTTAATCTAATAATAATAAGTATTTAAATAAATTCTTACGTGATTTTTATGCACTTTTGGTTTAATTTTTTTTAATAACATAAAATAACAATTAAATTCTATATAAAAAAAAAAAAAACTAACAATAAAATTTTTTTTGTAACGTTACCACTTAAAACGCGTTTGATTGACTAATGCAAAAAAAAAAAAAAAAATTTAAAAAATGACTTTCACTCTTAATTTTTTTTATTTTTACATTTTGAATGTAATTGCGATATGGACACCATTTTGTTTTTTTGCATAAAATATAACCTAAAGTTTATATTATTAACTTTTACCTTCCGTAATTTTTATATTGGAACTCATAATAACCGGTAAAGTTGGTAAAATGTTTTCAATTTAGTTACGTAAATTAAAATGTTGTTGTCAATTTTTTTTAGAAACGATTTCATGAATTGTTTAACAAAAAAAAAATATCGTAAAAAGGAATAAAAAATTCTAAAAGAAAACTTTTTTTTTTTTTCGTATAGAAATTCTAAGAACAAAACATGTCGTACGATGCATAAAACCCCCCCCCCAAAAAAAGTTTTTGGTAAAACTTTTTAATATTATTATTATTAAATAATGACGTGAAATGCTTTTAAATAATTAAAATGTGCGAATGTGAAAATATGTTTTTTTTTTTTTTCAAAATGGCGAAAATATTTGTTTAAAGTTTTCTTTTGTTATTCTAGAAAATAAAATTCAAACAAAAGAAAATTTTAGAAAAAAAAAAAAAAACTAAAAACATAATAATCGGAATTTTTTTTTCCGAAACAAACAATCGTGTTTCTAAAAGAATTGTTACCAACCAAACAAATATTCATTCATTCAAAAGTAAACGTTTTTTTTTTATTCAAAGGGTGGGGGGAAGGGAGCTAACGCGAAGGTTAAAAATATATGGAAAAAAGATAATAATAATAAATAGAAAATGTTTTTTTTTTTTTTTTTTTTGTTCAACTTTTACTCGTAAAAATTGTTTTCCATTCTCTTTTTTCTGCATACATTTTTTTTTAGTTTTTTTTTTAAATGTTGAATGAGTTTATAAAACAAGTTTTTTCTTTTTGACTTTAAATTTTTTTTTGACTTTAAATTTTTAATCTGAAATCTAAAACATGGCGGATTTATTTAAAAAAAAAAAAATTATATGTTTTGAATGTTGTTGTTGTTGTTTGATGATGACGTTACAAAATTTAAAAAAAAAAAAAAAATTATGCCCCGGTTAAAAATTTTAAAAAAAATTATTTGTAAAATATTTATAAAGAGGTTATTAACCTTTTTGTGTTATTATCAATGTATGAATTTTTCGTATCAGGCAAAACATAAAAATGTTTGAGTAAAATTAAAAAAGAAAAATTATTATTATTAGTATTAATTTTTTTAAATGTATAAAATCTCTAAGCATATCTCGAGAGTAATAAAAAAGTTGTTGATAAATTTTATTAATTACCTGAGAGCAATTAGTGGGGAGCAAGCATCGGAGAGATAATAATAATAATAATAATATCATAACTTATTTAAATAAATGATACGAAGTTCAAGGAATCCTTGTTTGTTTGTTTGTTTGTTTACTGTTTGATATTTAATAAATTGTTGTTTTTAATAAAATTACGTTATAATTAAAACAATTAATAAATTATTATTTTGTCGTTGATAAAAAAAAAAATGCTTCAAGTTTAATTAAAGAATTTTTAATTTATTATTATTATTATTATAAATTTTTAAAAATGTTTTTACCGGGGGAAAAATTTTCAAATTAGGTTATTGTCATTCGTGCAGGTAATAAAAAAAAAAAAAAAAAAAATTAACCGTTTCCGGGTTTTTTTTTTTTTTAACCTTGTTAAACGTAAAACATATGCGTGATAAAAAAAAAGCATGACGACGATTAAACGAGTAAAATTGTTATTAAATTTTTTTTTTTTTTTAAATTAAAGGAAAAGGAAAATAGCAATCACGTGTCCATTTTTTTTTTTTTTTTATAGGAAAATTGATTTTCTTTGCATGTTTTTATAAAAAAATTTTCTTTTTTATAATGAAATTGTATTCGTATTAATAATATAAAAATAATTTTTTATTTCGTTTCAGGCAAATAATTATTTTGCTAAATTTACTCGGCAAAATAAATTAAAATTAAATCTATGATATTAATTTTTAAAAAACCTTTTTGTTTGTTTGTTTGTATTCTCTCTTGTTTTAAATAAACAAACAATACAAACGGTTTTTTTTGCCTACCCACTGTGTGTGAAAGAGGCATCATTTAATCATTACTATTTAATTTTTTTTTTGTATTGCCGTATACTAGAGCAAAAAAATTTTTAATAATAATAATAATAATATTAATATTTGAGCTAAAACGAATTCGATTATTTATCGTTTTGAAATAAATAAAAAAGTTTTTGTTTAAGACTAAAAGATTGCAAGAAACTTTTAGCCAGTTGTACCAACGTCAGTATTCATCCGGATACCAATTTAAAAACCTAGAAATTGCACTTTTCCATAGTTCTATTTGTTCTTTATATTCTTCTCTAATGTTAGGCCTCGGAATAAATATTTGATCTACAGTTCTTAATCTACTTATTTCTTCTTTAGAATTCCAAACTCCGCTTGCCAAACCAGCCAAATATGCAGCTCCTAAAACGGATATTTCAGTGGATGATGGTCTTTCAATTGGAATTTGAGTGAGATCAGCTATAAGTTGCGTTATGAAATTGTTGTTGGAAACGCCACCGTCTATCCTGAAAAAATCCAACGGAAAATCATTCATATTCAAAATGGAGTCGGTAAGTTTAGAAATTGATATTTTTACGTTCGATAACAAACCTAATTAATTTAAAATCTAAACCGATTTCTTTTTTGACAACTTCGAAAAGTTGATGAATTCTAAAAACTATACTTTCTAAAATTGCTCTCATCATGTGACCTTTTGACGTTGTCGGTTTTAAACCTATAAAACCGGCAGCAGCAAGTCCATCGTTAACCGGAGCCTATAATTAAATTAAATTAAATTAAAATTTTTTTTTTTTTACGATCGATTAAAGTAATTTGAGTGAGTAATTAATTGCTCACTTGAATTCCACTGAACGATGGTATAAAACAAACACCGTTGGCATCATTAACGGAATTTGCAATATCATTTGATTCCGATGGATCTTTTATAATTCCTGAAAAAAAAAAAAAATTTTTTTTAGGCCTTAGGTTTAATTGTATTTCTTTAAGTTGAAATATTTCATTGCATGAATTATGGATCTTAAAATCTAACCTATTTTTTGAGCCCATTTTATTGTCGTTCCCGTGTCATTTGATGCTCCTTCAGCCATGTAAATAGTTTCTTTATTAATTCGCCATCCCACAATCGGATAAAGACCTGAGTACAAATATTTTAATTAAAAATGGGAAAAATTAATTTTTACTATTTGAAAAAAAAAAAAAAAAAAAAAAAAAATTTACCGGTAATAGAGGCGTGTGGTTCACTTCCCGTGTTTATATTTACAAAACTACCCGTACCTAAAGTAATTTTAAAATCACCTCGTTTAAAACCACAGGAACCAAAAAGTGATGCAGATTGATCAGCTACCTATTCATTAAAAAAAAAAATAAATTATTTATTTAAAAAACAAATTTATTATTGTTCAAAAAAAAAAAAAAAAGAATTAAAATTCTTACACAGCTTCTAATAGGAATGGGTGAACCGAATAAATATGAAGAAGTATAACCGAAATTTCCAGCAGTATCTAATATTTTAGGCAATATCGTTCGTGGTAAACCGAAAATATAAAAAGCCCAATCGGCCCAATCCATTGTGAAAGGATCGAAAAATCCAGTGCAGGCTGCATTGGACACGTCTGTCACGTGTTGTTCACCACCAGTTAATTTATATATGAGCCAAGTATCCAAAGTTCCAAAATGAACTTCATTTTTTTCTATGGATTTTTTAAGAGAAGGTATATTTTCCAATACCCACAACAGTCTAGCGGTTACCTGTTATTAAAAAACTAATTATTTCTAATTAAAATTTCTCACATCCTGTAAATAAAAATGACGTTGTTTCATTTTCACCTGAGTATTCATGACTTTCATTTGACTACCTGCCAGAAATCTTTTTCTTCTGGTAAAAGCATATAAAATTTTCGACGTGGCTCGCATTCCCTTTAAAAAAAAAAAAAAAAAAAAAAAAAAAAAGGTATTTTAAATAGGATATCGTGAAAATTTAAACAGTTGAACTGTAGCAAAAACGTTACCTTCATTAAAAAAGATTTATTAAGTTCTTTAACTATTTTATTAGCTCTTAAATCTTTCCATATAATAATATTATGATAAGGTGTGCCTGTTTTTTTATTCCATGTTGTAAAAGATGAACGCTGAACGGAAAGTCCCAACGATGTTATTTGATTCGAAGTTAATCCGGCATCTGGAAAATTCCATTTCAGTTTTCGGTTTAAATTTTTTTTTTGTTTTGAATTACATTAAATATTTCTAATACAAAACTTTTTGACACAAACCTTGAAGAGATAGCTTTATTACTCTTTGAACAGATATCCATAACTTATCAGGATCGATTTCTACGAATCCAGGTTCAGGATAAAGAAGTTCTATCTAAAAAAATATAATAGTATAAAACATAACGTTTCGAATCGAAAAAAGATGTTTTGAAAATTCCAAAAAACTAACCTGATCAATTCCAGATCCGCAAAGTTGAGCTTTTTGATTAAATATGCAACATCTTAATGTTGTCGTACCAACATCCAAAGCTGCCACAAATTTATCTTCCGTCATTTCTTTAAAAAATATCAATCTATCCTCACGTGTTGTATTTTCAGCTCCTGGCGACATATTGTTTATTAATTAATATGAACAATTGTCAGCTAAACGTGATGAGAGCCAAACAATTTTTTTTGTTTTTTCCAATATTAAATATTATTATTCCCGTATTTAAATTCATATCTGATTAATTCTTTCACAAATTTTGTAACGCGTCCTATATTTTAACCTCAATTTTATTAATAATAATAATAAATGGTAATGGCGTGTTTATAAAAAAAAAAAAAAAGCAGATTTTAACTGCAATTTTAAAAGAAATTGATTAAAATAACGAGATTGCGCATTGAACCCAACCAACGACGACGAATTTTTTTTTTAAATCGGGAAAAATAAAAGTTGTGGGAAAATTTTTTTTTTACAATTACAAAGAATAATAATAATAATAATAAATTATTTAGTTTGTGTTATCAAAGTTCGATTTTATGACGTTTTATAAAAGTTTTATCAATAAAATAAAGAAAATAAAAACAATTGAAATACTTACGAGTTTTAAAAAAAATTTTCTTTCCTTTTGCGAATAAAACCTTAATTTTGCACTATGATAACGGTCGGTCGGTATATTTATTAAAAAATTTGTAACGTATTTTTTTAAAAATAAAACTACTTATTTTAAGCAAAATTATTTATTAACAACGAACGTTACAACTATTTAGAAAAAAAAAAATGGTAGCATAAAAATTAATTTAACCGAACCATTTGTTTTAAAAATTGCAAAATTAATTGTTACTCGTTTGTTGGTTAAATCTTAAATGATTGCGGAATGGGAAAAACTTCAATAATTTTTTTTAATGACGTCAAATTTCCCGTTAAAAAAAAAAAAAAAAAAAATTTAAAATAATAATAATTATTATCATTTCCTTAGAAAATTTAAACAAAAATAGTAATAATAATAATAATAATACGAACTGTAGTTTTCCTTCAACAATATAATATTACCGTTAGATAAAAAAAAAATTATCTTTTAAACTTTAAGAAGGTTATTTTATATATATTTCCTTTTTGACGTCATATCTATGTTTAAAATAAAAAATTTATTATTTAATAAAATTTTAAAAAATTTATTTTTTAAAGGAAATGACGACTACTCGTATCGCAATCAAACTTTAACAACAACAACAACAACAACCACAAACACAAACGCACATTTTAAGGTCACATAAAATTTTTTTTTTTATTTGTAACGAATTAACTAAAGTTCTTTAATAAAATATATAAAAAAAACGTTAAATTATTTATTCGTTTAATTATTATTATTATTATTATTATTATTTATGAACAAAAAATTTATATTAAAAAAAAATAGCACGAATCGATTAATTATTGATAATAATAATAAAAAAAACTCTTTTCCGACCGCCGTTGTCACTTTTATTTAAATGACCTTAAAGGTCATAAGGTTAAAATTTTCGAAATTTAATTTAAAAATTATTATTATTATTATTTTGTCTTTTTCAAATACAAACATTTTGTGTTTGTATGTATAGATTGTTTACAAGCCGGTGTGAATGCACGAAAATAAAACGAGTTTGTTACGTAACATGGTCTATCCGCGCACAACAACAACAACAATAAGAAAAAAAATTAAAATCACGTGTTAATTAATAATCGAAAACAATTTAATAATAATAATAATAATAATAATAATAATAATATTAATCACTTTTATTAACGAATTAAGATGGCGATGATGATGATGTTTGTGTTAGATTGTTTAAAAAAAAAAAAAAAATGTTGCCACGTTCACAGGTGATAGATATATAAAAACGCCATCGATAGCGAAATCTATACTAGACATAATAACTTTCTAGTTTCGGTTCACCTAGATCGTGTTTGTTGTTTGTTTGTTTGTTTTGAAAGCCTATAAATAAAGCCTATATTTTTAAAATTTATTTTCACATAAAGAGTGCGCTTATAAACGTGTTTTCAATCCATTTTTTTCATCATGTTTTATTAAATAAATTAATATAAATAAATAAATTTTGTAATTTTTGTAAATGATAATATTTTTATTATTAAAATTTTTTAAAAACAAAACGTATTATTATCATTATTAATAAGAAACCAAACAAAATTTTTTATACAAAAAATTATTATTATTATTATTATTATTATTATTATTGAGTTTGACTCTTTTTTTGTTTAAGTAAACATTTTTGTCGTTTTGTACTTTAAAAAAAAAAAATTTAAATAATTAATTGGCACGTTTTTTTTTTTTTTTTTTTTTTTAAAAAAAATATTTTACATAAATTTTATTGATTTAATAAAAAAGGCCTTTAATAAACCCAAAAATTTAATAATAATAATAATAATTTATACATAATTTTAAATAAATAAATTTTATTGTCACTCGCATTTAAAACTACTACAATTTTTTTTTTTTTTTACAATAATTTTTATCAATCGAAAAAATATTATTATATCAAAATCAATTTTTTTTTTTTAAATTTTTAATGATATGTTAAGGTAAAAATCTTTTTTTGGTATTACAATTGTAATTTAATCACTACAAAAACAAACTCGCTTCTTTTTTAAAATTTGAAGTAATAGAAAATATAATAATAATAATAATAATAATAATAAAATGACTAGATTGTAATTTTTAAATTGATAATAACATTATAAAAATGTTTTTCTTTTTGTAGTGACTTACAAATTTATTATTGCCCTTAATTTAAAACAAAAAAGGGGAGGGGGGTATTCGTGTATCAATAACATAATTTTTAGAATAATTACTGATATTTTTCAATCAAAAAAATCAAATTGAAATGAATAAAAACATAAATTCTGTTTCTCATATACATAAATAAATAAATAAATAAATAATAATAATAAGGAACTACGGACACTACGTATTGATAATAATATCGATTTGGCAATTTTCATTTCTTAATTTGTATAAATCGATTTGTAATTCGTTAATTATGAAATAAAAAATACTGCGATAGTTGTAAAAATAATAATAATAATAATAATAATAATAATAATAATAATAATAAAACAATGATGAAAATATAACGTTTAAAAATGATAGATAGAGACTAGATAGATATTTTTGGCTTTGGTTTTCGATAAAAACTAATATTTAATTTGAAAAGGGGTGTGTTCTGTGGGGAATTATTTTTTTTTTTTTTTTTTTTTTTTTTTTTATGAAAATATTTTTTTTTCATCGGGTGATAATTTATTGATGATAATAATAATTATTATTATTATCATCATGAATAAATATTAATTCGTTTTTTTCGCATCGTTTTTCGCATCTCCTTCTTTCGGTTGTCCGAAACCTAAAATTCTTGCCAATGCATCGCAAATACCACCCAAAAATAAGGCACAAAATAAATTTTCGAATGGAATGAATGGATCGTGTATTCCTAATAATATTGATGATAGTTTAAAATATACGAAAAATATGACGATTCCAAAATAAACGAGTGCGTGCGGTGCGGATATCAAATCTGTTTTTTTGTCCAAAACAAATATGACGGATGCTACAAGGCAAGCTTTGGTGTAACTGAAAACAAAAAATAATTTTTTGAATCGTCGTCGTCGTCGTTGATGATGATGATTCCAAATTAATTCTAAAGAAATTTGAACTAATTATTATTATTATTAGGCATTTGTTATCTGAACTCAATAAAACAGGTCATATTCCCAAGACGTTCTTTACACAGAAGAATAAAAAACTGTGTGCAGCAATATTATTTTGTATTTCGATCTCATTATTCGCCATTTTGGATTTTTTTTATGTTTTGATGTTTATTGTCTTATACTTACAAACTAGGTTGCATAAATTCCATGGCTGTCGGTGTCCACACTCCTCTTATAAGTCTTTCCATTAATTTAGTAAATCCTGCTCCGTTACCTTTTAACGTTCCAATAAGTATCATTATTATATATGCGTTTGGATATAATTTGGCTGCGTGTGTGACACCATCGTGTACTTTTTTGCACCTTAAATAAATTATTTAAATAATTAATAAATAAAAAAAGACACCGATATGAGTTTTCTATGGAAGTTGTCATTTTAAATTTCTCACCTGTAAACTTCTTTCATGGCGGCGAGTACAATTTTTACGGGTAAAAATTTGGCAAATTTATAACCGATATCGAAAGGAGAATAAAATATAACGTACCTAAAAAGACAATTGAAAAATTATTATTATTATTTTTTGAAAGATTTATGTAAAAATTAAAAGTGGGAAGGTTTTTTTTTTACCAAACAACCGTTGCAATTAATAATTGAGGAGTATTTTTTAATGGTGCTAAAATTGGTTCGCCTAAAAGACCGTTACAAAGCATTCCACCGGCAAAAATAACAAGCATTGTAGATAACCAACATGACATTGGATGTTTTCGGGAAAATGCCAAAGCTCCTAAAAATAAATAAATAAATAAATTATTAATTCGAGAATTGTATTTTATTAAAAATAACTTTAATTAATTTAAAAAAAAAAAAAAAAAAGTAAATTTTCGTAATAGGGGCGATATTTTGTATCTCCAACTGTGAATTTTACCTCCTGGAGTTTAACATCCCCCTCACTTAAATACAAACACACACACACGTCGTTTGACGTGGAAGAAGAATTTTATTTAAAAATAAAAAAAGTTAAAAATATATAAGTTTTAAAAGCTTTTTAATAATAAAATTCATTTTTTTTTTTTTAATCTTAACTTTTTTTATTTAAAAAAAAAAAAAAAAAAAACAATTTTTTTTATGTGTGTGAAATGATTCATATAAAAATATTGATTGGAATAAAAATGTTAAATTAAGGGTGAAATTAGGGTAAATTTTAATTTACACCCCCCTTCATTTCATTTTGACTTTTATTCAATTTTAATGTTCACCCCTAACAAAAAAAAAAAAAAAAGTTTTTTGAATATTGAGAGTAGATTTACCTTAAAAAAAAATTAATTATAACTTTTTCCAGGAGGATTTTTCCAAATTTAAACTTTTTTTGTTTTTTTTTTAAACAAATAATGATAATAAAATAAATTTTCCGGAAAAACAAAAAAGAAAAAAATTGAAAGTGAAAAAGAAATAATTACTACAAAAAAAAATCAATTTTAATAAAATATTTATCATTCATACATGATTTTTTTCCAGTTTTTTTTTTTATAAAAAAAAAAATTAAATTTTAGGTTTTAAAATTTTAGGCGCGATCATATTTAAACATTCACGATAAAAATAAATTTAATTTTAATTTATTATTTAAAACAAAAACAAAAAAAAAAAACTTTTACAAATTGTTTACAACTTACTTTGTTTGTTTGGTTTTGGAATCTAATCGTTGTTAATACTTGTTTTAAAAATTTATATAATCAATTAAAATGGCGGGAAAATATATTGAATTGGATAATGACGCTACCTGAGAAATTTTTTTTTTTTTTTTCCAATTTTATTTTAAATTTAGAAAATAATTTGGCAATTGTTTCTCAGGTAAAATTTTCTTATCGATGTCATCAATGCATAATTTATATTATACAATTGTTGTTAGGGTAATGATATAAAGAAAATCGAATTTTTTATTACGATTTAAATAGATAGACAAAGATAGAATGATAATTGCATTTTTCTTTTTCAAGGTAAATTTTTAACCTTAGATCAAATGCGGTTTATTAAACTGAATCAAGATCATATACTTACCCGGTCCCAAATCTTCTCTTACAGCCAATGCACATAATACACTGTGAGCAATGTCAAAATACGGAAACATTTTTAATTTTGTTACTTGATTAGCCAAATCTAAAAACGCCTCGGGATCCATAATGATGAGGGTTGTTCTTTACTTATTATTATTTTAATCCGTATAAAAAAAAAAAAAAAAAATTTTTTTTTATTCACCAACCCCTTTGATTTAACGTACCAACTTAAAAAATGATTGCCCCGGATATTTATTTTCGGATTCAACGTAAAGAGCACGCGCTTTGTGTGTAGCGTTCGTTTTTTTTTTATTGACAACGTTTCGACACCGTTAATCTCTTATTGAAATTCGGTTGTTTGTTCGTTGTGATTATAAGGGTATTTGAAAATCTCGCTATCAGCCACGACGACGTGGAAGATTGTAATGAATTAAATTTTTACTTTCGAATCGACAACGTGAAGTTTTATCCTATGCAATTTTTATACCACGTACGTAGTGCAATTTGCATAAATTTTAAAATTAAGGCGTTGAATATGAGTTTAAATAACTTTTTGTTGTTAAATTAAATTTCAAATTTTTTTAAATAATGGTTTCTCGAACTTATTTATTTATTTAAATTTAAAACATTTATACCGACCGGAAAAAAAAAAAAAACAATTTTATTAAAGACATTTAAAAATAAAAAAAAAATGTCGAAATGTTTTGTCCACCGCGTGGTGAAAACGAATTTATCGAAATATATTAAAATATGAAAATTCGTTTTAATTATTTTAATATTAATAATAACGAATTTGTTTTTGTTTTGTTTATAACTCATTCGCATTGTTTGTTAATAAATTTCTTAATACCCCACAACGTAAAAAAAAAAAAAAAAAAAAAACTGCGTGTAATTCGTATATGTATATAAACTTATAATACTACAGGATATTTCATTAAAGTTTGCCAAGAAAAAAAAAAAAAAAATTTCATAATTAACGACTGAAATTTCATAAAAAAATTTTTTTTTTTTTTCACCATATTATAAATTATCATGCTTTTTAGCTAATAATTTAATTCATTAATACGACTCCTTGCTAATGTATATAATTTTTAAAAGTTGTAAAAAAAAAAAAATTAGTTAGCACAATTATCGATAATGCACAACCGAATAAATACCTTAAATTATTTTGCAATACATAATTTAAGGTATACGTTTTAGGTAATTGCGTTTTTTTTTTCGAATTCGAGAACGAAAAACCAAAAATATAAAAAAAAATTAAAAACGACGTAAAAAAAAAACGCCATTTATAAAAATTAAAGGACAAAATAAAATTTTTGGGGAAAAAAATTTCTTAATAAGATACATTTATCTTTTACAACTTACGATGACGTTGACGACGAGGACATCGGTTCCTTAATAATAATAATATAAAAAAAAAGACGAAATTAGGTTTTATTAAAAAAAAAAAAAAAAAAAAAACTCAGGGTCCATTGAAGGTTGTTACACAATTCAAAAAAAAAAAATTAAATTCACTTAAAGGAAATTTTATTATTTGACAATATTACGTCATTTATTATTTACGTTTATTTATTTATTTATTTACTGAAATTTTATTAAATTTACGAATCTCACGAATAAAAATAATAATAACCTTCTCAAAATTTTTATTTTTTTTCTTATTAAAATTAAAATTCTCATAATTAATAACAAAAGTATCAATTAAATAGATAATTAATTAATTACAGTCATCAAAATAATTTTCAACCGTAAAATTATTAATAATTTTATTATGTAAGTTAAAAATAAACAAAAAAATGCGTCTTCGTACCACGTGGTAAAGCAAAAACAACAGCAGAAGCAGAAGATAATTTTTTTTATCGTCTTTATTAATTATTATTATTATTATTAATTTTTTTACGTGTGCATGACGATTATGTAATAATATTTTATTTCTTTTCCTATTTACATTATTGAATATTATTATTATTTTTGTTTCATAATTTTTTTTTTATACGCGCATTAAGACCGTATCAAAACCCATTTAAATTATCATTATTATCATTATTATTATTATTATTATTTTTACAACTTTTTAATTTGTTTTCAAAGTAATTAAATGCCGGTGAAAGTTTTTATTTTTTTTTATTACGGATATATAACTTTTTTTTTTTTTTTTTAATAGTGACATAATATTTAATTTTTTTAAAAAATGTTCCCTTAAGAGTAATATTATTAATAATAATAATGATAATGATAATAATAATATCTTTTTTGATTTTTTAACGTTTCGATAAATAATTTTTTTTTTTTTTTCCCGTCCCCCAAGAAAGAAAAATTGCGTTTTTTTAGTTAGTTAAAAAAGTTTTTAACTTGATTGTATAATAAAAATTATTATTATTATTATTAATTTTTTTTTATTTGAGGGGAAAAAAGAGAACTTCCGGCGGAAATACTTAGTACGAATTGAATTTTTTTTAAGGGAAATTTTTTAAGTTTTACGTTAATTGAGATAAAATCCCGCAAATTGTAATTTTTAAAATGCGAGTAAACATAAAATTTTTGGTAAAAATTCTCTCGCGAGAGTATTAATTAATAAATTATTAATGTAATTAATTAATAAGGTATTTAAACTTTAAATAAATTAAATTTTAATTAAAGAAAAGAAAATTAACGGATTTTTTAATATTGAACAATATTTTTTTCGTTCGTTCGTTTGTTTGTTTTTTTGTCGATAATTAAATTACTTGCGGAAAACACATTATTAAATTACGGTAATTATTACTCTAAGAAGATTTATTATTATTATTTTAAAAAAAAGAGGAGAAAAGAAAGAGGGGGGGAATGAAAAATAAAATTTTATTTGTATTTATTTATGCATTTATTTAAAAAAAAAAAAAGAAAAAACAAAAATTACATCGACAAATTATTATCATTAAAAATTAAAATTAAAATGTTTTTTTTTTGGTAGCAAAATACGCCATTTTGAAAATTTTTTTTTCTTTCAAAAATTTACGAATGTATACAATTATTATTATTATTATTATTATTTAAAAAAAAACAATTAAAAATAAATATTAAATAAAGTTAAATTATTATTTATGTTTTGATGCTTTGAAGTTGAGAATCGAATCTTTTTTGATATTCACCCTTTGGATCGTATTTTTTCGTTAATCTTTCCCATTCTTTTGGTTTTTTATTAACCAAATGACGTATTATTTTATCAGCTGTTACTTTTTGACTTTCGTTACATTTTGAACAATCCGTTGCCAATGCATCCGGTAAAGTTTCTAAAAAAAATTAATAATAATAATAATAATAATAAAATTAAAATTATTACATGAGAATATTACGAAATTTTTTTACCTTTTAACGATTTTAAATTATCGTCATTATTATTATTATTATTATTATTATTATTATTATTATTATTATTGTTATTATTATTATTATTATTATTATTAAACAACAACCGCATTTAACGATCAAAATTTCTTAACATGTAATAATAATAGACTACCTGGATTTAAAACGATTATTATTATTATTTTGCTTTTCGAATTTAAATTATATATAAATAAAATCCGCCGTTTATGTTTTGAGGGGACTCCCCGAATTAAAAAAATTTTTATTTATTAATTAAAAATTCTTTTTTTTTTTTCTCCCTACAAATTATAAGGTTTCGTTTTTCATTTTTTTCTGTACTTTTACTTTTAAAAGAGAGAGAGAGAGAGATATAGAGACGATGTAGTTATGTCAACTTTTTATTATTATTATTATTATGTAATACGGGTTGAGGTTGCCTCAAAGGTACGATCGAACATTTTTTTTTTTTTTTAATGCCAAATTTGTGGTTGTTTCGGCGGACGATCATTTTTTTTTTTTTGTTCGGCTTTGCCAAAGGTTATTTTTTT